TTTTACTTCTTTATTGAGTCTCTTAAGCTCATTCATCATCTTTTGAGGCTCTTTCAAAGTCAGATCAAGAATATCCTACAACTCATTGCATCTTTCACAGTTATAAGATCTTACCTCGCTTGTTTTACCTCGTGCCATGAAACAGTTCTCATTGTTATCTTTGCATTTGTCGTCTGAAGTGTCCTCATCTGTCCAGCATCCTGAAGATTTGTTCATATCATTTTTCAGAATCGTCATGAAGCAAAGATTTGCTATCTCTTCGTGTTCTGAACTGTCTTTATCACTCAAACTCCCAAATGATTTGTTCTTGTTAAAGCCTCTGGAGATTTTCCTTTTCAGATCTGGGCACTCAGCTTGAATGTGTCCAAATCTTCCACACTCATAGTATTTCCCATCATTCTTATCTTGTTCGTTATATTGCCTGGATCGCCTAGGTAGAATCCTTCCTCTCCTCGTATTCCTAAATCTTCTCATTAAACCATCCATGTTTCTTGACATCATATCAATGTCTTATTAAAGGGCTTCAGGATCATCATCGATATTATTTTCAGCTATTTCAATTGTGGCCTTGAATGCAACTATTTTCTTCTTTTCTTCTTGGTTGGTTTTCTTAAGATATGTCTTTTCAAAGGTTACGAGTTCTCCTCGAAGTTCATCATAAGATAACTTATTCAGATCCTGAGATTCAAGTGTAACTACTTTGGTCTGCCAAGTAGTTGGTAGGCTTCTAAGAATCTTTCTGACTTGATAACCACTTGAATATGGTTTGCTGAAGGCTTTTGGATCGCTAATTATTTTGCTGAATCTGGCAAACATCTCTTCAATAGACTCTTCTTCTTTCATTTGGAAGAGTTCGTAATCATGAACCAACATGTTGATATGTGTTTCCTTTACCTTGTTGGTTCTTTCGTATATAACCTCAAGCTTGTCCCACGTCTCTTTGGTTGTGTCACGGCTGGAGATTTTCTCATACTCTTCACCACTTATAGCATTATAGAGCAAGTTTTCGCCTTATTATTGACTTGTACCACCGCCATTTTCTTATCTGTATATGAATCTATATCTTCAGGATTAGCAAGTGGTTGAGCGGCAACCGACAGAGGATAGTTCCACTTTTTGATAACTCTCCAAACTTTAACGTCATACGCCTTTGCATATATTTCCATACGTATTTTCCAGTGGGAGAAATGTTGTCCATTGAAGTATGGTGGCCCTACTTGCGAAGTTCCTTCCTGGAAGAGTGCGCCTATAATAACTTGATTTGTCATAATATTTTCTCACGAGCTGTTAAGCAAAAGAAAAAATGTTAGCCTTGCTCTGATACCAATTGAAAGTACAAGAGGGGGTAAATTATTTATTTTTAAAATTAATTGCTATTAGTTGACTAGTTTTTCAATTACTAGACTAGATGTAATAACTTGATAACAGTAACAACAGAATTTAAGATGCTGAAATTAAATGCAGGAATTAAAGACACCAAAATTTTTATACTGGTTCGGATTCAATGTGAATCCTAGTCCAATCCCCCTGGGTTGCAAGGGAGTTCTTTTCAGTGAATGAGTTTCTTCGAGTACATAGAGAATGGTGTGATCTACACCGATAGATCAGTTCCTATATCACTCGTTTCTTTTGATACAATGCCCCACCAGTATTGTTCTGTCTTTCTTCTCTAACTTGTTACACAATAGGTCTTAGTAGAGCTACAATGTTTGTTTGCAGTAGAACAACGAGATGGTATTTGGTTCGATCAAAGTATATGTGCTAAGGTGCGATTACAAGCTTAAATATTTTGAGAGAGGCTTGAATTTTGGAGAGATTCGCCAACCCAAGAGATTTGATCCTTGGAAAGAGATTGATTCTTTCCAAGAATAAGGCTATTCCGTAACGGCTCTAACTAATGAGAGGCTGTGAAGATTTTCCCTTGTGTGCGATCCCAGAATCTTGATCCTTCCAGATTTAAACACTTGATTGAATATTCTGCAAGATCTTCGATATACTTGATTTATTTGATTCCTTCAATTTAGCAGATCTTCGATATACTTGATTTACATGATTCCTTCAGTTTAGCCTTGATTGATTTCTTCAGTATCAATTTCTTCCTTTAATCACGTTTGCTTTCCTTGATTGCCTCTAATTGATTCATTCAATCTTGTATGCCAATCCATGCGTTCCTTGATCATTGCTGATTGATTTCTTCAATCTTGAATGCTATCCATGAGTTCCTATACAAAGAGCAAATATATTATTTTTATCATTAAAATCAGATCTAACACTTTTGAGGCTTATTAGTTTATATATCACGTTTTCATTGTTTATTTCTGTCATATTCTCTTGTATGTTGGGCTTAACCAGTTTTAGAGACTATGTGTCATCCCGATATCCTAAGGTGGGAAATTGGAATCGTGATAGTAAGTTACTTCTATTTAATTAGCAGAAAATGTTCGTATTTATACAAACTTCTCATGCTCCACCTTGGCTTGATTTATCAATTTATTTTCTTATATAAATTCCAAAATCTTCTTTTACCTTTTGTTATTTAGCTATATGTGTTATGCAAAATATTCATAATTTGGAGATGAGTAGAATTTATTGAGTTCAAATTGTTTGGCATTAGTTCTCTCTATTTCTTTTTATTGTTGTGCGTATCTTTCACGTTATTAAGAGCGCAAATGTAAATTATTATGTTATCTTGGACGATGGAAAATATTTTATGCTAGAGATGAACTTATTAGAAACATTTATTGAATCATCTACATTATATTAAAAGTAGGAAGTCCTTAACTAATAAGTTGAATTACCAAAATATCCTTCTTAAAATCTTAATTACCCTATTTATAGAAAATAAAAATATAACAGTAATATTTTTAAAACAAAAAAAAACTAATTTATTTGAAGTGTCCTTTCTAAAAAATTGTGACTTTTTAATAAGTAACTAAATATCTTTTGTAAGCCTATTCACGTTGCGTACTTGCCAAAATCTTAAGAGGAAAACTGTGGTGATTATAAAATATGTATGAAAATGAGAGCACAAGTAGAGAAAATAAAAAAATAAAAAAGATATTATCTTTGGTTTGATCCTTGCGAAGAGTTTCGTCGTTTAAATATACCATGGACCAACAAAATATCATGTAAGTTATGTTTTTAGTTTCTTTTGTCAATTTTAAAAAAGAATAAGCATCATATCTTTTACCACCTTTTGTTGAATTTTACAAGTTTTTGATTGCTTTTGATTATTTGATTTTTTTACTATTTCAACATAAAAATCTGTTTCTGAAAGAAATGTGGTATATACAACTTCCAAGAATCACACATAGATAGAATTTTACTTTTATTCACGGATACTATATAATACACAATAGTTTCCAGATGGAATACTAGAATAGATCATTTGAAAGGTAACTAATATAAAAAATAATAGAATTAATAAGTTAAATTGCATTGACAATATAATTTATTTTCCAGATAGTAAGTTAAATTCCTATAATTATTGGGGATTCATCATTGAAAATTAGAAACCAGAACTATAAACTGAAAAATAAATAAAAGAACATAAAAAGATTTTTGGTGATTATATTTCCGAAAAGTAGAAAGAGAATATTAAAAATGAAAACTAATTGATATATTTAATTAGTGAAAGAAATAATAGTAACATAAAACAATAGTTATTTCTGAAAGAAAAAAATTCTTTATATTTAAATAATTTTCTTGCCACCAATTAGTAACATAAAACAATAGTTATTCCCTTAACTTTTTCATAGTTCTTTTTCGTCAACTATACAAACTAATATGTCATTCTCCTTAAATAACCAATTCTCTTAGAGTTGAAGAGTATATTGTTATTCTTTTTTATTCAATATACGATTTCAATTTTAGAACTCATTGTTCCTATCGGGTCGAATAAAATAACATGCACGGATATGTATAAGTATGTGCGTAAATGCACATGCATGTATATGTATTTATATTCACATATCTTACGTTATTTGTAACAAAAATATTTATATTTACTTTTATGTCGAAGTAAGATTATCATTGGAATATTATCGAGAATGGTGAAAAATAAGTTGCATCGACATTGGAGAGTAAATAATTAAACTATTAAGTTTCTCTATGACAAATAATTATTACTTCTTTATATAACTACACACTATGAAATTGAATATATGTTTTAATTTACTTTAATGTCGAAGTAAAATTATCATTGGAACGACATTGAAGAATGGCGAGTGTTGCATCGATATTGAAATGAAAATAATGTGACCGTTAAGTTTCTTTATCACAAATAACTATCATTTTTATTATAAGTATACATTATAAAATTGGCAATAATCTACTAGATATCCTAAGGAAGACGAATATTGATGCAATTTGTGTACAACATCCACAAAATACTACTTTTATTGGACTACAATTTGGTGATATATATGCAGTTGTAAAAAGAAGGGGGCTACAGAGGCAGAAACTTTAAAACGTGAAACATTTGCAACCATACTTGAGGTTGCACATATTCATATTTAAATTATATTGCTGAAATATCTAAAATTAATCAAGAAAACAGTCAAGAACAGAGGATGAGCCAGAATTTCAAGTTTATAGGTTCGGGATCCTAATCTTTTAAGTTATTGGGTTCTACATTAATAATTTGTACATATTTAATGATAATTCTAAGACAAATACATTATTTGAACCAAAGTTAGTGGGTTCGGTCCAACGCGTAGTAGACATTGTAGCTCCACCTTACCTTAACAAAACAAGTCACGTGCAACGCACGTGTAGAAAAACTAATTGTTATAAAAAAAGTTACCATGGACACCAAAAATAAATTCCCAATCACCCAAATAAACGAACAATTATCTTCATTTTTGCAAATCTCAACCTCTGTCTTTTACTTGAGAAGTGCAGGAAATGAAACTGGATACTACATGATTCGATATACACGTGCAACACACGTACCGAGAAACTAGTATGAAATAAAAAGGGCTAACAATGGAGAAATGCACTTGATCAGAACCATAAGTTAATTACTTTATATACAAACAAGAATGAAATAGGAATTTAATGGAAACCATGTTAACTCTTCATCATCATCAGTGTTCACCATTCCGAACAAACAAAATTGCTCTATACATAGTTTTGTTTTTTCATCCTACCTAGTTTCTTTTATTTGGAATTGCATTTTCATCTATCTGTGATGATTGCCGTGACATGGACATGACATTGAGTTGTTTCGGATGATAAGTTGAGATTCTATTCCCGTTTTCATCATATAAAACCGTATCATCATCCTCATTATTTGGGACTTTACATTTCTCTCCTAAGATGATTTGTTTCTTCCAAACTGAGTCTTCGTGTTTCAACTTGGAATTCTTCTCATGGCGTTGTGATAATGCCCCCGAAAATGCCTTCATGCTCATGCTTGTACTTAATTTTCTCTGTAGAGTTTTCATGCTCGAATTCGACCTGGAAACGCGAGCAGGAGCCATTGAATTGGTCCTAAAATTACAAGAAGCAACTGCCCTCATAGCTGGTGGTGGTGGCAATGGTTGTTGCAAGAATTTTTCGTCACTTTTTCGCTCTGGTTTATCGGTTGATTCCTCATTTACATCTGAGATTTTTACAATATCTGCCTGAGATGACTCATTGATAACAATGGTTGCATTTTCTTTCGCTTCAATATTATCTCCTGCAGAAGGATTAGGAGATCCTTTTATTCTCTCTAACAGACCACAAAGAGATGAAACTATACCAATTGTTGCAGCAATGCAAGCAGTAAGAAATAAAAAATATATGAGAGGATGATTGGGATGAACCTCTCCTAAAGGAATTTTTCTTCCCATGAATGAATAGAAAAAGGGGCAAAAAAGATTAGAGAAAGAAAGCAATTCCTTTCTCTTTTCCTATCCCGCTATTCGGAATTCCTCTCTTTGCTCCCATATTTCGTCTAAATTTAATTTCCTTTTGGAAAAACAAAGGGAGCTTGAGGTTGCAAGATTCTTTTTGGTGTTTGCTATAAGGGAAAAAACAGAATGCTTGAAACTAGGACTCAAGACCAAAAGGTGAGGCTACAAAATTCACCGTACTTCCTGCCGGTAGATTATTTAGAGTATATATTGTTTACCTTTTCATAACCTACTTTACAAACATTCGACGATGATACTGATTTAAAAGGAGTTTAACTTTTATATACTGATAATGTAAAAACGCTTTTATATTATCAGATTGAATAAAAGATAATTATAGATAATAATCCATAAAATGTTGGAGTCATAACTTAAAGAATAAGTGTTGGTTCCCTCTTTCAATTAGTTTGAATACACTTACAAAATCTTGTTTGAATTGTCTTTCTTATTTCATTGTATTGCATTGTGACTTTAATTACACTGTTTTCTTTCATTATCATCTTAAATTTATTATATTTGTATTGTTAAATAAATTGTTATGTAATAAAAAATGTCCTATATTATATAGCGACCATTTTGGTTTGATGAGATTGTTATTATTTTTATGTTCCATTCTACCCTCACTTTTGTAATGACCAATTTGGTAGATGTAGTCCTTTGTCCTATTATACAGAAAAGGTCCAAATATAGCCCTAAACTAACCAATTTGGTAGATGTAGTCCTTTGTCCTATTATACAGAAAAGGTCCAAATATAGCCCTAAACTAACCAATTTGGTAGATGTAGTCCTTTGTCCTATTATACAGAAAAGGTCCAAATATAGCCCTAAACTATGCGAAATGGTGCATGTTTGCCCATTATTAATAGTTGAGGTCAGATCTACCATTTGATATTAAAAAAAAATTAAAAAAAGAGAGGCAAGATTTACACTATTAAGACTAATCCCCAACACTAGTACATATCTCAAAGGAAAATTAGAACAATAGTGGATACGTATCTCAAAGGAAAATTAAGACAATAGTGAATAGTACAGAAGAAAAATTGGACTATTTGGGACTAATAAAGGCTTTTGAGTATTCCAGTCATGTGGAGCTCACCAGCGAAAGTAGGGTGGACAAATACTACCGCTTTTCTAGGCCGTCAAAATACCCCAAAAAAATCCATCCCTTTTATATATTAACTAGAATGGTCTGCCCGTGCAACACATGAGTTGGTTTATCTTTGATATTTTTCATCCAAAGTGATGATTAAAAAAAAGATTCAAAATGACGGAACTGCAGAAGAGAATCCAAGCTTTGGTCTCCTAATGGCTAAATTAATCTACACATATATATCTGATTTGAGAAGCTAAGAGAACACTAATTCTCCCATCTAATTTAGTGAATTGTAGTAAGAAACGATCAAAGCCTTTTTAGCAATTACAACTTCCACTCCCTACTACAAAACTTTCTATATTATAAAATTCTCCTGTGGAAATGTGAATTGCCTTTTGGCCAACTTCCTCATTTAACAACTTGTTTTCAAGGAGATTGTGGGCAAAAGTACCCCTAGCCAAAATTTTCTCGTCTTCACGATGGCTTCGATCTTGGCTTCCATCTGAGTTGAAGCCCATGGATTAACACACCCCGCTATATAAGATGATCAGCATGAATGCTTCCAGCTGATGAATGTGATGTGTGGTAATACTATCACTAAAACTCAGCAAGCAGTAGGCATCTTTCACTTGAACAACCATAGTTGCGTAGTAATACATCATTTTGTTTACCTGCCTTCCTGCAATCACTTATTAAGCAGAAAAACACGAAAGGAAAAGAGAGCAAAGGCAACAAAATCAATCAAAGCAGCTACATATGAACTTTATATGGAACAAATTGACACCTTCACCAATGACAAAGGGAATAAACCGGTCCATCAATGAATATTCAAATGTGAGATGCAGGCAGTTAAGCACCTTTACAAGAGTATCGCGCAGCAATCTACTTCCCGTACAATTTTAGCATTTGTCAAAGCTTGAATGCGCTTATAAATGGAAGCATCATAGACTTGTCATTGTGGACACCATCTACATTTACTACCATACAATCAAAATGCTCGAGATAAGACAGCTGTCATAGCCCCTCCTCGGGCAGATGAATCCACATGTTGGCCACCAAAAGGATGCTCACTGGGTTTAAGTTTTCAAGTTCGTGCTACACAACTTTCTCCAAATTCTAGCAGAACTTAACATCTTCTGTTTACTGACAAATAAAAATTATTTACGTGTTTCAAAATCAAGGCAACAAAAGGAGCTTAAGCCCATTGTTAGCTCAATACCTGTCAACACTCGGCTTTTAGTGAGCACCACTATCTTATTCTCTGCTCATGCTTGCAAGCATGATGGTTGTTCCACCTGAAAATTCCCAATGCAATGTCTCAAATAGTATTTTGAAAGAAAGATGACAATTAAGGTTTTCCTGCAAAATTTATTAAAATGCAATAAGCTTCATACATTGCACACTTTATTTTTCAATTGAGCAGATATCTACAACAAAGCTAAAAACAGTAACTAATACCACAAGAAAGGGAGAAATGGTTCAACTCCATGGAATTAATGTAACACCTAATAGAGGAATGTAAAATCATTCAGTATCTTTACACAAACTTTGAGTCTTGCAAAAACTCAAGACTTTCAATGCATATTAGACAAATTGAAATACTGACATTTTTTTTCATACTTCGTATGTATCTATGTTATGCAAAAGTGATAAAATACCAAGTAAATGTCTCTCTTTCTGTTCCCCTGCAGCATCATGAAGATTTTCTAATGCAACATCTATGAAGATTTTAGAATAATTACTATATCTATTTTTAAAAAAAAAAAAAGTTGGACAACTAAGATGATAGATAACCATCATTTCTTCTTGTTCACACATCAGAAATTAAATTAAAATGTGAGTTTCCAAATATGTATTATATCTAAACTATGGCACCTCACTTTAGTTCTTTCAATGCTAGACCTGTTTCATGAGTAAGTGAATCTGAATCTTCTTTCTCTCTCCCCTCTCTTTTTCTTCTTCCTTTTTTTTTTTTTTTTTTTTGGGGGGGGGGGGAGGGGAGGGGGTTCTTTGTTTGAAAAAATATGATATCACAGAGAAGTTGTTTATAAAAGGATATAGGAAAGACTTGTAAGGAGATTAACTAATTAATCTTCCATTGGTAGTGGGACATTTTACAATATGAAGTACAAAAATACGTCAATGCGAGATTCTGTTCAATAGGGACAGACGCTTACCACATTATAGGGGTACTCTTGGACTCTGAAGATGGCGTTGCACTATTCATACGAAACAAACTCCAAACAAAGCATATTCTAGCCAGAAGCTTTCCCACCATCCCACCTCACCACTGAGTTACCATCCGAGCTCAACCTAGGTATCTTGTCCAGTAGTTTGTAGTATCCTTTTAAAGTGGTAGTGATGGCCAAACTTCCATCCCTTGCATGCTACTAATTTTAGCCCTACTTCTCCATTTAGAATTTGCTAAAAACCAATAGCTAAAATTACAACCAGAAAATTAAAGAAGTATCTTTTTTCGGCATTTAGAATGTAATGGTATGTTATCAGCGACATACAGACAGAGAAAAGTTTATCATAACATAAAAGAGTTTAGCTGGATAAATAAAAATGCTACCACAGACGTGATAACAGAAGTGTACATACCTTCGATTTAAAGCTTTCACAGTCGCATAGATGAGACTTTGCGTAAATATATTGCACAAATTCATTACATAGATTAACCAATAATGGAGTATGCTGCAATATGAATCAGTATATACAGGAAAAAATAAGATTAAACTATCCTTGAGCAAACTATAAAAAAAGAGAAAGATGAGCTAATAAAGTAATATACCTCCTATAGGCCAATATAAAACCTGAGTTGACAACTTTGATTTTCTAACTTCAGCTTTAGCATCAGGAAGAAAGATAGTCACTTCAGTCGCCTAAGGTTCAGTAACATTGAAAATAAACAACAACGCCAATTTGGATAACAAATCTTCACCACTGACTCTTCTGAGAATTTTCTCCTATCAAGGGATAGATGTCCTATGTCGGGTTCGACATTTTAAGTAATCCAATAAGCTTTTCCTCATACCTGCAAAAAAGTGCGTAATCATTAAGTTTTATAGAGTTTAGGTGCTTTGGAAATATAAGGATCTTAAGAATGGCAAACGCATTAGACGACTCTAACTTCTACAAACAAACTTAATTGTAAAAACTATTGATTTATTGTACAAACTGCGAATACTCACATTTAATTTAGTGCCAGCAAATTCTGAAAATGAGTTTGAACTAAAGGGACGAAAAGTACTACAAATAACAAACATTTAAGCATAAAATTCGTAGGAAAGATCCAATACGACAAACTACCGGCTATATCATCTGAATGATATTCTTTTGGTAATATTGGCATATAACTATGTTACTAAGCATAAATCTCGGACCTCAGTAGAGGAAAAAAAGGCATGTGCATTAAACAACATTCACACGGCGAGGGATCTCACTCTGAAAGAATGAATGGAGTTATTTATGACGAACAAATAGAAATAACAAATAGTGATAGTCCAAAAGCTGTTGCATGCTAATGGATCCAGTAATAATGTTTCTTTGTTATTGCCAAAAGAAAGTATTTTCACACTCTATCCTGTATTGGTAGTTCTTAACATCCTAAATGCATTGGATAATTTGGTTTGTTCTTGAGCACCTATTTCATAACAATATTTTCACATTAAAACCCCCATTTTGCTCAACCAGAATAAGAACACCAAAATTAGAAACAAAAAATGTGCAACTGGGTATTTCTTTCCAAACCTGCATATCAAATTCAGACATGCTTGTAGAAAATCTAGCTAGAAATTATTCAAAAATATAGAGAAACCAACATCGAAAAAATGGATAAAACTTCAAATTAAGAAAATACAGAAGTGAAATCAAGTACATGGTGCAAGAAAGAAAATACCAGGGGAGAAAACTTACCAACTTAACAAACATGATTAGCAAAATGCAAAATTAAGAAGAAAAAAGATTTATGATTTCTGTAAAGAGAAGGGGGAGAAAACTCAAACATATAGATAAATCTAGAGGAGCCCAGAAGAATTAAATAACTTACCCAAACAAAGATGCCACCTCGAGCTCTTACAGTACCAAAGCAGGATGAGAATTGTATAGGGCAGATAAAGAGAGGATATTAGAAGAGTGAAATCTGAAGAGATTGACAATTTTGTAAAGAGTTTTATAGTATCAAATAGAAGTACACGTGGTTTGGAAAAGTAGAGATGTAGTACACGTGTTAATCTACCAATAAGATGTGCCCAAATGTAAAGTACAAATCACAGTGCATTTTGTACAATCAGGACTGTTGTGATCGTACACCCTCTTCTCACTTTCGTGATAGCGCCTAACACACTTGATCGACAAGCCGAACATAATAATAACAAATCATAATAATAGAAATGACAAAAATAATATAAGTCTAAAGTCATCAACACAATATTAGCGCAGTTACATAATAAATCCCCAAGAAGTGATAAATACGAAGTCAAGAGCTCTAAAACCAAAATACAAGTCTGAAGTACAAAATAACAATACTATCAGAATGAAAGACAACAATACAAATAGAAAAAAAATGCCAAGACTATGGCCGAGATGCAACTCTACCTCGTCTCTCAAAAGATAGCTAAGCAACAAGCCTCAACTACTGGTAGCTCGGTCCAACACCTGGATCTATAAAATTATGTAAAAAGTGTAGTATGAGTACAACGGACCCTATGTACTCAGTGATGTTTTATACTTCAATACCACACAAGAAGGGGACGATTTCTGGTATCCAATTTTTCGCATGCATAAATTATAGAAGGACTTGGTTCTTCTACATGTTCCTTATACTACAGTTGCGGAATAGTAAATGTAACACTCCTCAAATTTATAAAAAGTTTCAAGACACCCTAGATATAGAATTTAATTTTTTATAATCTTAAATTATACTTCTATTACATATTTAAATTCTTGTGATTGATTTTGAATTACTTTTCTATTTATAAATAATTGGACATACAATTAAGGAAAATATTAACATTTTTTTTTATATTATTAATCATTAAAAGTGAGTATAAAAAAAAGGGGGAAACAAGCTAAGCTTTTAAGAATTTGGGCTTAAAGCCCATATATCACTCCTCTGCCTCACGACCAAAACAAACCAAAGGCATAAAGCCTTGATGAAAGTCAAAACAAACACAAAAGCTTAAGAAACAATTTTACAGAGGAAAGCACGCACGCACGGAAGTAAGAAACAGAAGCAGCGAATAAGTCACGCAGTCAACGGAAAACCTAGGGTTCTTTACAAACCACTTATTCTTGAACTCAGGTATATAAAATTCTCCATTGTCAATTATTCTAAAGTAGTAATAGGTAAGAATTGAATAGTTAATTCCCTTCTTCCTCTATATCATCAATAAATTTCATAATTAGGTGTAGTACTTTAAAATTGATTAAAATNNGATTTGCAGGCGAACAGGCTACGAGTTAGGACTTCCTTCCCTTCCAGTGATATTGGTGAGCTCCGATTTTGTTCGTGGAGTATTTTTAGAGTCATTTTCATTTAGCTATTTCTTTGTTTATTTAGAGAACTGGACAGGAAATCTCATGTCCTGAGCAGTGTGTCAGTTTATCAGTAGAGGCTTCATAGACATAGTCATTGGGTTGAGATTCAGATGTTATTTTATAATAACTTAGCAGTAATTCAGTAGTTACTA